TAGCCCTCCAAGTACGGCTTCAGCTTCCTGATTGCCCACACGATTGCCAAGCACTCTTTCTCTGTTGTGGAGTAATTTTTCTCCGCGCCGTTTAGAGTCCGGCTTGAGTATGAAATGACCCTTTTGCCGTCCTCTGTCTCTTGCGTCAGGATTGCACCTAATCCATAGTCCCTGGCGTCCGTCTGAAGGATGAACTTTTTCTCGAAATCTGGGCACGCCAGCACTGGATCGGCTACTAGTCGTGCCTTTACCTTTTCGAAGGCCTGTTGGTGTTCCGGCGTCCATATCCACTTTGTGCCTTTGCGTAGAAGATCATTCAGTGGCTTTACTATCCGCGCAAAATCTGGCACAAATCGCCGATACCATGAAGCTATGCCGTAGTTCGCGTACTGTCGACGGTGTCTCTAGTTCGGCTATGGCTGCTACCTTCTCGGGATCTGTGCCTATCCCTTCGTTAGTAACGCGGTGTCCTAGGTAAAGCAACTCTTGCTTGAAGAATTTGCATTTATCGGCGTTTATTCTTAGGTTTGCTTCCTTGAGGCGCCTAAACACTTCCTTTAGATTCTCCACGTGATCTTTCAGCGTGCGTCCGATCACAATGATGTCATCTTGGTATGCAAACGCGTATGGTGACATCTCCGGGCCGATTACCTTATCCAGAGCCCTTTGGAACGTGGCCGAAGCTGAATGTAGACCGAAAGGCATTACTTTCCATTGGAACAAGCCTTTGTCGGGAACTGTAAACGCCGTATATTGCCGACTATTTACCTCCAAAGGGACTTGCCAATATCCGTCTTTCAAGTCTAGACTGCTTATGTATTTCGCCTCTCTGAGTTGGTCCAGGATATAATCGGGTAGGCATCTTTTATGGATTTCGCGTTTATTTGTCTGAAATCAACGCATAGCCTCCACTTGCCCGTCTTCTTTTTCACCATTACGATGGGCGAGCTGTATGGACTTCTTGAATGTTCTATGAAGCCCATTTGTAACAACTCGTCCACCTTTGCGTTGATCTCTCCTTGGACTCTTGGGTTCTTAGGATAATACCTCTGTTTGATTGGCTTGTCGTCTTTCATGGTGATTTGGTGCTCGGCCACTGTAGATGTTCCTGACATGGTGCTGAATTCTGCTAACTGTTCGTCGAGGAATTTTTCAATGTCCTCTTCAGCACTTACGTGTGAATCTACCGCCACCGACAGCCTTTCTTCCAGACATCCATTATGCCGTTTTCTTGCCGGTATTCGTAATTCATGCCCGGCACATTTTATTTCCGCCCCGACTCCCGTGAGGAAATTCCACCCCAGCACGAGTTCATCCACTACTCCTGGAAATATTAGCAGATTCATCTCCAATTGTTTGTTTCCAAATTCCACCGTGATCTCGAGCTGTGAGCTTATTCTGCTGCACCTGCCGTCTGCCAACCTAACTTGCCGTCTTGTCCTTGTGATCCTTCCTTTGTCAGCCAGTCTATCCGCTAGCTCCTCGTTGATGACACTTGACGTAGCTCCCGTGTCAATTGTGGCCTTGTATGCGACGCCTTCAATTTCAACGTACGCGGATAACCGCTGCTCTTCTTCGATCAAATTGCCAGTTAGTTTGGAGAGGAGGCACTTTGCGATCCCTGTGCGCCTCTCTGCGACTGGGATCGCTGCCCTCCTTTGGCGAGTACCCGAGTGGCCTCATCAAAGTCTGCATGTCCACCATGTAGTCTTTGAACGGTTCCCTGAAACCTTGTTTCCGCTGTTTCACCTTGTCTGCCAACTTCGAGAAAAACCCTCTCGACAGAAAGTACGTCTGGAAACTTTCGCTGAAATCTCCCCATGTTCTCCAATGTTTATTGTTTGAAATAAACCATTTCAGAGCTTTGCCTTGCAATAGTTCTGGCATTGGGATCATGTTCAGGTTCAGACCGTACGTGTTCGCGGACCACTCCACCTGTTCTAGGAATTCCAGTGGCTTCTCTGTGCCATCGAATTTGAATGACCACTCTCTCACTTGCTTTGCGACTTTGGCGTAATCTGGTGTGCTAGGTCTTTGCTGCCCTGCTTTTCTTTCCTGGCTTGCGTTTCGACTCCAGCCAGCTTCCTTCATGCTGTCCACTCCAAGGCTAGCTATGAGTTCCTCGGCGTCAGGGTTCAGCAATTTGATTGTTGGGCCTGGCTTATTGTCGTATTTCTCTTCCAGATCTCTGCTACTCCTGGGTCATCCTATTTTCTCGTTAGGTACTCTGAGAAGGCTTTCCTCATGTCATCCGTTCTTCCCTCCAAAGTGATGCCTAACTTGGCTCCTATTTTGGCGAGATCCTCTTTCTTGAGGAGATATATCCATCCTTTCCCCATTTTCTGTTTATTTGCTGATTCTCTCAAAGCGTACGCCTTTCGCAGCCACAGCCTCCTGTCCCTGGATCTGTCCCGGCCGGTCACACCAGACGCCTACACAGTTTTTACCTGACGGTTCAAGCATACGCCGGAAGGCCGCCAATGCAATCCCTGTGGCAGGACGCTAGGTTCAAGACGAACGCTTCCGCCCTCGCCTCTTAGCCGTGGACTGGATACGTCGGAGTGTAGCTTGGTTGTTGCTGGGCCTGCGATGACTGCTCGTCGTTTCTCGTGTCCTCGATGTCCTCGCTCTGCTCACTGCGCGAATCCTGTTTCCGTTGTCCGCGTGCTTTTGTGAGACTAGGTGCAACGGGTCTGTGGCTCTCGGGATTCGGTCAGCTGCCTGTCTAGGACTCTGGCGGTGAACTACTGTGCTCTCGACGCATACGCCTCTCGAGACACCCGTGGTTCGGACGCGCGTCCTTTTTGGCTAGTCGCACCAGGACCTGCACAATTCTCGCCTGCCGGTTCAGGCGTACGCCGGAATTCGACAAGGCAATTGTTTTCGCACGGCAGCTGGTTCTGGACAACTTCCCTTCCGAGCTAACGGTTCTTTGTCGAATTACTCTTTTTATTCACTTCTGTCGGATTCGCCGAGCAATACGCCAAGCTCAAATCGCGACCAGAATTAGAACAAAGCGCCTGGACTTAGCCGCGTGATGCCTCAAGAACCTCAGCTACCTGTTTCTCAGCTCGGAGACTTCAACTCTGAGTCCCGAACGTGTTGATGTAGCGATCTTGCTCCTGTTGACTCGGCGCGGGTCTGCTTCCTCCTGATGTTGACTTGACTTGTTTTATTCCTTGGTTTTCTGCTTGTCTATTGATCTTGCTGGATTGACTCCTTCTGATTGACTGATCCCCCTTCCTGCGCTCGGCCCGCTTATATAGGCCGGTGTATCCCGTTAATTCTCGGCTTCTCCTTTTTCGGTTTTGCGCACGGCACCATACTCGGTCCAAAGTCCGCCGCCTTCTACCGTTAGACGTTCTCTCCAAACTCTCTCCAGCCGTATTCTCCAAACTCTCTCCAGCTGTATTCTCCAAACTCTCACCAGCTGTATTCTCCAAACTCTCAATTGCTGTATTCTCCAAACTCTCACCAGCTGTATTCCTCCAAACTCTCATTCATTTGTGAGGATGACAGTTTCGAACGGATGGACTCTATGAAAAGAGGGCATTACATGTCATTTACTAACTCTTTTATATAAAACTAGCTGACCCGGCGATCTTTGTTCCGTCTTATCTTAATGTCAATAAATAAGCAGTTTTTTTTATTGGAAAAAATACAACAAAAATTAAATACGTATATTAATCATTTACGTATTATTGACCATGGGAAAAACATGAATGTTTTAGATTTAAACCGCAAACTTTTAAGGATTGGCCTTGTGATTTGTTGATGGATGTGATTGTCATGGCAAATGCAACCCGTATCGGAAATTGAAGTCTTTTAAATTCAAACGGCATATCGGTTGAGATCACTGGTATCCTCGGAATGAGAACTTCCTTACCTTTGAATTTTCCTATCATTATCGTAGCGTAAATTACATTGTTCATCAATTTTCTAACCACCAAACGCGTACCGTTGCACAGTTTTGGTTGGTTTATGTTTCGAAGCATGATTACTACGGAGCCAACCTTTAGGCGTAAATTGTGCGGTGGTAAGCCAGGCACGTCCAAAGAGTTTAAAAATTCAATTGGATAGTTGGTGGCTAGTAGCTACAACTAATGCATTCGACCTATTTTTATGGTTTTTAAAAAGGGATTTGCGCAAGCAATGGGTTTCGCCAGGGTGTACAGTTTATTTGTTGTGTATCCCAAATTTTTTCCAACAAAAAATACCTGTCCTGTCCTTTTTTATATACCTAAAAACAGGACCTGTATACGCACAGATAGGGTAACGGAATTTCGTTAGCCTCTGTGATTTAAAAATAGAAACTGTCTTGATGGGAGAGAGGGAGAGAGAGGAAGAGAAAGTCTCTCTTAGAAATATTTGAGCATTTAAACTAGATCTGAAATTTTGTTGATTTGACCAAAGTAATTTTAGAATATAAGGCTATATATTATTAATGTCTGGCTTGAACACTTTAAATTGGTCGAAAATAAAATTATATTTTTGAAGAGATTAACTTAATAAAAATTATTTCATTTATGATAAATAATTTTAGTAGTAAAAAAAATATATGTTAATAATTTGCGGCCTTTACACTTTAACTAAAAGATTATAAAATAATATATTATTTAAAAGCAGTATACAAATTATTTATATACCACTTTTAATTTCCAAAGTAAAATTATCCACATAGGCATGCATAGAACATTAAAAATTTTTTAAAATGTCAATCGGCCACAAAATTTTCTGTAAATGTTATACAAAAATTCTCTGCTGTTATTCCAATGTGTTTAAACCTGTTCGCGCGCACTTGCGGTTCAAAACGGCTATTTTACCGCACCCGATTCCTACATTATTTTACGTTTTTTTCCGCAAGAAAAATATATAGCCTTATATTCTTAAATTACTTTGGTCAAATCAACAAAATTTCAGATCTAGTTTAAATGCTCAAATTTTTCTAAGAGAGACTTTCTCTTCCTCTCTCTCCCTCTCTCCCATCAAGACAGTTTCTATTTTTAAATCACAGAGGCTAACGAAATTCCGTTACCCTATCTGTGCGTATACAGGTCCGGTTTTTAGGTATATAAAAAAGGACAGGACAGGTATTTTTTGTTGGACAAAATTTGGGATACACAACAAATAAACTGTACACCCAGGCGAAACCCATTGCTTGCGCAAATCCCTTTTTAAAAAGCTGCAGTCGTATTCATCCCCTTGACTTCAGGTTGTAAAGTCATTCAATTAATGGTATGAAATCTCTACAAGATACCCCTCCATCCATCTGATCTCTAGGAAATTGGGTTTGATCCCACCCAAGTAAACATATACATACGCACAACTGTTCAGTCGCCATCACAATTGTTTAACGACCTTGCCTTTCAAGATATTTTCCACCCTCAAAGACATACACAAACACAATATTCTATGTATATTGTACGCCTGCAATGTCCCCCCCATCCCCTTCCTATACTAAGTTTAAAAAGTTTCATTCGAATGTATGAATAAGGTGTAAAGTTAGTTATTCTGTACTAAGGAAGGAATAGACATCGTCGGTTTTTCTACGATTAATTTTTGAGAACTTTATTTTTGTTTATATTTGTTGCTAACAAAAAAAAAAAAAAACTATAACTATGGCTTTAATTCAGTGCGATGTGTGCAACAAAGATTTTAATCTTTCGGTGTTCGAAACGCATTACGAGGAGTGCTCAAAGCCTCGTAACACAAGTGCATCTAACAACAAAATTATTTGTGATTTGTGTTATATGTCCGTAGATAGCGGAACATTTAGTGAGCATTACAATAGGTGTCTCGGACCTAAAAATGCTTTTAAAGTGCTGATGGGCGCTCAGATTAAAAATAAGCATTTACAGCCTATTTCTGAGCGCCAAAATTATGATGACCAACCCTCCACTTCAGGAGCTGCAATTAAACGGATTAGGACCGAAGGTAATTCCACCCAAAATACCAATAGAAATAAGATTAAGACTTCGGTTGATACTAATTGTGAATTGTGTGGAGGAACTTACCCACAATCAGGAAAAATAAAGCATATTAGGTCAGAAAAGCACAAGAATGCAATTGCGGGAACGAACAAAAATGTTGACGTTATTCACCTGGCGTCGGAAACAGAATTCCCAATTAGGTCATATCGGATTCAATCCTCCGGTACAAAAGATATTATTGACCTTAAAGAATTTTATAAACAATGTCAAGCCAACATGGTACAAATTCTTACTCATGGAATGGATGAATTTAAGTCTATAAAATTCAGTATCCAAATTTATGGATTATATGTCAAATACACCGATGATGGAGATTGTGTTGAAACATATAAGCATTTTGGTACTGCATATCTTTCGGTTTATGATGTTGATTACTTACTTCCTCGAATTGAGGAAGGTATCGATTATTACTCAGGATGGGCTATAAAAGCATTTAAATATTTCGATATTACAGTAATTAAACTGGAACACATTCCCGTTAGAGGATATATTCCTGCTCCTTCAACCATTAAAGCTAAAAATGCTTTAATTAATGTTAAAAACAATGATGAATATTGTTTTAAGTGGAGTTTACTGGCCTTTATTGCTTTTAAAAGCCATGCATTGGATCAATTTCCAACTCCCAGACAAAGAAGGGCTGCTAGAGAACAACTACAATTCCCTGCCTTCTATAGAAATTTTAATATTTCACAGGAAATTATTCAATACAAAGAAGCAACGTTAATTTTTACTGGAATAGAGTTTCCTATTACAAAAAAAGGGATAAAGATATTCGAAAAATTAAATCCCAATTTCAGCGTAAATGTATATGAAATTGACGCAACAGGAAAACAAATTGTAGGGCCCGTTGTAAGGACTGATTTTAAGTCTAGGCCCTCACATATAAATTTGTTACTAATTGAAAAGGAAAATTCTTTACATTACGCATACATTACCTGTATGAGAACACTTTGCTATTCGCAATGTTCCAAATCTAGAACTCCTGCGAATTTTTGTGAGAATTGCTTGCAGTTCATAACAACAACAAATTCGACACACGATACAAAGGAGTGTGGTAAAGTTGCCGCAACATATCCAACTCCGAATTCGGTTACGAAGTTTAAAAACTTTTATAAAAAACTATCTCCGCCAATAGTTATATATGCGGACATCGAAGCGGTATTAAAAAATATTCATACCGCAATAAATACGCCGACTAATTCATCAACAACCAAAGCCCAGAAGCATATTGCTTGCGTGGTTTCATTTTGTGTGGTGCACAAATACGATTCAACTTTAAATAAACAATGGACATATGAAGGTAATTATCAATATTATATTCTAATAGTAAATTGATCCTAATAATAATATTTTCATTTATTTAAGGTCCTGATTGTATCAAACAATTTTGTAAGGCCCTCAAGGATACCACTTTGGCTCTTTACAATAAATAATGGGCTCATCATGAAGATCCAACCAGACCATTGGATCCATGCGAGGAGTACCAGAACGAAAATGAAGATTGCTGCGCCTGTGAGCTACGAATTCGGGGGACCGCCGACCCGTACTTCAATCAATTTACTGGTAGCTATATAGGTCCTATTCATAAGAACTGTAAAGTAGAGTATGAGCTTAAAGAGGCGTTTTTCCCAGTAATTTTTCATAACCTTTCAAGGTACGATATCCATTTATTTATTAAGGAATTAGGTGATAATTTAAAGCCATTACCTTGCAATAAGGAATTATATATTGCCCTCACCCAAACCATTAGAATAAATGCTAGTTGACGATATAAAATTCAATTTATAGATTCAAATAGGTTTTTAAATTCAAGTTTAGAAAAACTAGCTAGTTATTTGGACGATGCAAATTTCAGTCTATTGAAAACTAAATTTCAGGATGAGAAATTCACCCAAATGAGGCGAAAGGGAGTATTCCCTTATGACTTTTTAGATAGCTTTAAAAAATTTAATGAGCCAGAACTCCAATTGAATATTTTTTTAATTCCCTCACAGACCAAGCCTGTTCTGCCGAAGAATATGAATTCGCTCAAAAGGTTTGGTAAACATTTAATTGTAAAACTCTAAGGGACTATTTAAAATTATATTTAGAAAGCGATGTAATGATTTTAGCTGACGTATTCGAAAATTTTAGAAAGATTTGTCTACACATCTATAAACTTGATCCCGTCAATTATGTAACGGCTCCCTCAATTTCCTGGGATGCAATGTTAAAATTCACGCGAACAGAATTAACTCTAATAAGTGATCCTGATATGTACAATTTTCTTAAGAGATCTATACGAGGAGGATTGACTCAATGCACTCAACGAATTTCAAGTGCTAATAATAAATACATGGAAGACTTCGATAATAGCAAACCCACTAATTTCTTAGCATACATTGATGCTAATAATTTATATGGTTGGGCCATGAGTCAACCCCTTCCCTTATCAGAATTTAAATTTTTAGATTATCAGGAAATTATGCAGTTAGATATAAAAAATATGCCAGCAAACGGGGCTTATGGGTACATGCTCGAAGTAGACCTCAAATATCCTATTGAACTTCATAACGCGCATAATTCATTGCCCTTCTGTCCTGAAAGTAAATTGCCTCCAGGCTCAAAAATTCCCAAGCTAATAGCTGATTTAAATGATAAAGAAAATTATATTATACATTTAAAATACCTACAATTATGCATTCAACACGGGATTATAGTAAAGAAAATTCATAGAGTACTAACTTTTAAACAATCTTGTTGGCTAAAACCCTACATAGATTTAAACACAAAACATAGAAAATTAGCTAAAAATGAATAAAAAAAATTTTTTTAATTAATTAATAACGCTGTGTACGGGAAAACAATGGAAAATGTCCAGAAAAGTAGAGTCGTGGCACTGGTGTCTCATTACCAATCAAAACAAAACTCACCTGGTTTTAGACAACGAATCGCCAGTCACAATTTTCATAGTGTAGAACTTTTTGGCCCTAATTTAGCTGCAATCGAGTCCACACAAACATGTATATTTTATGATAAGCCCATATATATTGGATCCAGTGTTTTAGAACTGTCCAAATGGTTAATGTATGATTACTTCTATAATTTTCTTTCTATAAAGTGTCCTTCGTCAAGTATTATTTATATGGATACCGATTCCTTTATTATATCATCCAAAGAAGACTTTTATAAATTAATAAAAGAAAATCCTAGTCGGTTTGATACATCAAACTACAAAGAAAATAATAAATATAATATAGCTCAGGCCAATAATAAAGAACTAGGCTTAATGAAAGACGAAAATGCAGGAAAAATAATGAAGTCCTTCGCGGGTCTAAAGGCCAAGGCCTACTCAATCTTAGTTGTGAAGGACAGTAATCAAAATTCAGACCAAAGTCCTTACGAATGTATAAAAAAGGTTAAGGGAGTTCAAAGATCGGTTGTAAATAAGCTATCGCATAATGATTATATAGAATGTATTAAACAAAAGAAAACTTATTATGGGGAACAGCGAACAATTAGAAGTAGAGCTCATAATCTTTATACTGAAATAGTTAATAAAATAAGTCTCAATTATAAGGATGATAAAAGGTTTATATTACCTGATAAAATACATACACTAGCTCACGGACATTTTGAAATAAGAAATATTTCATGTGATAGTTAAAATTAAAAAAAAAAAAAATGTATAATTAATCAAAAATGTATTTAATATATTTAAAATGTACAATTTGTAAATTTGTGTAAATATATAATAAAAAAATAAAATAAAAATGAATTATAAATTTTTAAATAAAATCTGGGTGTGTATGGCTATTATTCCAAATTACTATTTCAGCAAACTTTGTTTATCTATCCACGAAGAGTGACTTTCATCAAAACCAAGCCACTTAACCTTGAGTCGATTCTTTCGCTTTTCTAATATTTTCTCTACCAAGAACACATTAGGATCTTTAACTCGTTGAAGTTCTTGTTCATAAAATGATCCCTCAATAGGTTCACTCTTATAATCCTCCAACTCATACGTTGCAGGGTAAGTAGACTTAATCTTTATTACTTTAAAAACTTCTGTTGTCCAATTGGGTTCATATCCCTTCATAAACACGCCCTTATATTTACTTATTCGAACGTAATCCCCCACATAAAATTTGTGTTGTGGATATATTTTTGGAATATTGTAAACTGATTTCAATATAAACTCCTCATTTTGAGTGCATACATCAACTGGACTCATTTTAATAGTTCTGTGATACGAATTATTATATTCATGGACAAGTTCATTGATTTTATGTATCCATCTATATTTTCCCTGCATACTGAACATTTTCCACATGTTACTTTTTAATGTTCTATTAATCTATAATTAAAAAATTCTTTCCTTGATCTGACTGAGGTTAGTTAGTTAGTTAGGGTTAGTTTTTGCTGTTTTAAATACTGTGTTCATTGCTTCTACTACCTCCTGTGCAGACTTGGTTTTAACAGGTACGGCGTACGCGTATTTAGAGAATGTGTCAATAACTGTCAGTAAATATCTATATCCGCTATTTTCTTTCCAAAAAGGAATCATTTCAACTAAATCAATTTGCCAGGTATCATTTATTCCTTTTTGAACAAATTTGCGTCGAATAAAATTTTTTCGAACCTGTTTATGAATTTCATTAACCACTTGCTGTTTGCTCATGATGTTATTTTTTATTAGGTGTTGAAGAGGGTTTATATATTAGTGATTGCTTATATACAAGTACATCGCTTTTTATTTCCTTACGCATCTTTTTTGAAATTTCAAAACACAGTCTAGTTAAATCTATTTGAACATTTTTATCGTAAGAGCCTTCTAAATCAGATAGTTGAACATCATATTTTTGTAATGAAACGCACTTAGGAATAATGTGATTATAGTAAAGGTATATAACTTGTTGACTTAATATTGAGTTCCAACATAAAAATGTAGTAAAAAATATACCTAATCTTAGTAAGGATCTCCAGGACTCACTATCAAATTCAATTTTGTTACCATACTGGTTTATTACCATTACATACTGCTTATCGGATTTTCGAAACCTAAAATTACATTTTATAGTAGACATAGTTGGATGATCAATAATTGAATCAGGCAACAAAAAATCGTATTGATCAAGTTTTAGTTGAATATATTCCTTGTATGTGAGGAGCTGCATCCATTGATCTATTTCAAATCCCACGAAATTATTTTTACTTTGCTGCATCCAGACCATTTGTGAAAATTTTCGTGATGTTGACAATCCACATTTTATTTTTAAATTATGTACTACATAATATTCGAATCCGAATATAACTTCATGATCCTGATTTTTTGTATCTTGGTACGTGTCCATTATGGTTTAGACGTCTTTCTAAACTACTCATTTGTACCGATCAGACCGCTATATAAAGGGGAAACTTCATGTAGTCATAGCCTCAGTTGATAAAAAAATCTCAAGCAATCATGAACACTGTAGATCGAAAATCTAGCGTTATAGTAGATTTTCAATATTTACTTGGAAACAATAAACAAGTTTTTGTTAAGGAGTTAGCATTCATGCAGACCGGAACAGTCGTCCCCAATTTCTTTCATTTCAAACCACCATTCAACATAAAGGAATTGGAGAATGAAACAATTAAACAGCAACACTTAAATCGACAGAATATTAATGGATTGGATTGGTCAGCTGGAGATATACCATATACATGTCTAGAAGAAATACTTTCACCACTTAATAAGTATAGTGCAATTATCGTACGTGGTGAAATTAAAAAACATTTTTTAAGTAAATATTTATCAACAACCATTATCGATATTGACATTGGAAGAAGTTTAGCACAGCTTCCAAATTTTTTCACCAATTGTAAAATCCACACGAAAAAAGTTCCTCTTAGATGTTCATTAAATAATTTGTTTAAACTATTTGTAATCTTAGAAAACTCAAATTATGAAGTATATTGTAATCCTAACACATATATTTGATTATCAGTAAAAAAATTATAGTCGAACTAAGAGGTTGTCTTATTCAAGGGTATCCCCTTCTGCGGGGGCCTTACCAAACAAATTCTTAAAGGTATCCATTGAATAAGACAACCTCTTAGTTCGACCATAATTTTTTTAAAAAAAAAAAAATGTGTAGGATTACAATTACACTCAACTAATTTATTGTAATTATTGCAGATCTGACCCTCATTTCGAAAAGAACTGCTCAAAAAAACGTGACCAGGAAAAATCTAAATAATAATAATAATGTAATTTAAGGATATATTAATATAATAAAATATATATAAAATAATAAAATGCTTACACAATTCATACAACCCTTCACAATGTTAATTTGCGGACCTTCAGGATCCGGAAAAACAACGTTTTTAGAAAATCTGATAAATAAAAAGAATGATTTGCTAAATGTTTCCATAGATCGGATTATTTGGTGTTATGGAGAGGATACTGCTAAACCTAATTTTAATAATGTTGAGTACTATAAAGGAGTCCCCGAAACAATTGAAAACGAAACTAATGAACCTATTCTTTTAATATTGGATGATTTGATGATGGGGGCATTTAATAAAAATGTGTGTGAACTCTTTACGTAAGGATCGCACCATAGAAATTTATCAGTTGTAGTTGTAACTCAAAATATATTTCATAAATCATCACATACCAGAGATATTTCACTAAATACAAAATATATTGTTGCTTTTAAAAACCCCCGTGATAAGCTTCAATTTCAATGTTTAGCAAGACAAATTTAACCTGAAAATCCCGCAGAACTATTTAGAATATATAAGGAAGTTACGGAGCAACCTCATGGATTTTTACTTATTGATCTCACCCAAGGAATCAACGATCTCTTAAGATTTAGAACTAACATTTTTAATTCTGAATATACAGTGTGTTATTCAGAGGAAAATGGTTTACAAAAAGAATCTAAGTCGTCTAAAAGCGAACAAACATATATTGTATGTGCTCAAAAAAGCTAACAACAAACTACGGAAGGCAATTATAAGTAATAGCGATAGTGAGTTAGTTAAAACATTAGTAGAGATCGTATTAAATACATTGCAAGGAAATCATAAGGTTACAAAAACACATTTAACAGCGCTCAAAAAGTATAAAAAAGTATTACGTTACCTTTCCTGTCCAAAACGCACATTAAATTCCAAGTGAAAAGTTCTAGTTCAAAAAGGAGGATTTTTACCAATTCTTATAAATTCATTGCTTTCTGGAATTTTCGGAAAAATATTAAACCATGCTTAAAAATAAACAGCATTTAAACAAAGTCATTTTGATGACCCCCAACGCCTATCAAAAATTAATAAGCGATGACAGGGGGAATGAATTAATAAGTTTAAAATTTTTACCAATTTTAAATGATAACAAAATAAGAGATTTCGACAAATGGATTAAAATTCGTCAAGAATTGTCTTACTACCAAAATAAAAAACGTAATAAATTATGGCATGTATCAAATGAACAAAAAGCACCCTCTATCTCAACTCAAACTAATGAATTTCAAACAACTGATTGGATTGATACAAACCCTAGTACTTCAGGATTAAAATTAAAAATTGACTCTTCACTACCAAAAAAGGTTGAGTTACCAGATTTACCATCTGAAAGTGATGAAGATTTAAACTCGGAAGCAAATGATCACAAACGAAAAATTCGGAATACTTCCTTTGGTGATACTAAAGAAGATATTAAGAAGATGGCAGTTACAAAAGTGAAGCTTAATGCAAAGCAACGCAAATTAAGAGTAAACCTAAAAAAATATAAAGAGGAACCATCTCCATTTCAAAATCTTACTTATGTAACAGGGCGTGAAAAGTTGAATCGATCGGTTAAAAATTCTGTACAAATAGGGAAAAACAAACTAAATTGGACGTCATACCAATAATTGTAAAGGTTGATTTTAGAAATGGGGTATTTATATGAGATGTTTATCACATTGCTCAGCAATGATTCACTAAATGTATTTCCTGATAATGTAAAATGTGCATTTACTAACATTGTAAATATTCCTGAAGATATGAACGATGCTTGGGAAGTCGGTATTACCGATATATATCTAAATAATTACATTAAAAATTTATCTGACAAAGAAATAAATATACCTACAAATACAGAAAATAGTACAACTGAATTTGTTAGTTTAGTAAATGCTGAAACATTTAGATATACAAATGTAACCATGGAGTCAAAAACACATGAAAATGGATTAATTTTTATTTATACTGATATAATCAAACCGAGGATTGTTGGTAGTAAGAGACCCCGATGCCTTCGAGTACTGCATTACAATGGTAAAGAAAAAAATATTCAATTTAAAAATATTGAATATTATCCTTTAGACATATGGTCTCCAAACGAGATATCAATATTAATAACCGATTCAAAAGGTTATAAGATTCCGTTTGAATCGTCTGCTGTGCCTATTTTTGTTACTCTTCACTTTAGAAGACGGAGATGATCAATGATATAAATAATACTCCCCCAATTGAAATTAATTCAGAATAAAAATAGCAATCATGGTGAAATCTTATCATCAATATTATTTAAATCAGTCTGGTGGAGGATTAAGCAACATAGGAGGAAGCCTCATATAGTTCAACAAGGACGAGGAATTGGAAACTTTT